TGGCCTGACTTAAAGCTCAACTGCTCTGCTGAGGCCAGGTGAAGAAATGCAGAGTGTAGGGCTATTGTCTGGGGCATGGGGATCACAGGCAACCCTTGCCCGCTGATCTCCATTACTTTCCTTGGGTCTTTTGCTGGGCTATTGGAAATATGTATCTCTTTCACAGGGTAGGGCTAAGCAGGTAGGATTCGATCTCGGAACTGTTGATGATCATCTTTGTCACCACATGGAAAGGGTGGGGAAGGGACTCCTAGGGAATAAAACCAACATAGAAGAAGAAAGGGCCAGGAAATGGAAAGAGACTCATTTCTTGACTCTTGCCAGGTGACTCTTGGATTTGTCAATGAAAGAAGCCAACAAAATTCCTTCTCATGTTTAAGTAAATTTGAACTAGGTTTTGGTCACTTGAGACCAAAAAGAATCCTTATGAAAGCAGCAATTATGAGACGAAAGTATTGTTTGTAAAACAAATGTCATCTCTTGAATTTTCAACCAATAGTGAGGGAAGAATTTGATTGTTTTTCTCATTGAGCGGTGGCTGAGAAAAACCCGTAGATTTCCAAAGTAAACCCTTAGTATGGCTTTTTGAGGCGCTACAAAAAGAATAGAAATGAGTTCATACATAAAAATTGTAAAAACACTAAGAATGGTTTGGGAGGAAAGACATCAGAGTAAGCAAGAACTAAGGGTAATATAAAGAGTTTTGGATTGGCTCAATAGCTGAATTAAGCTTGGGGAGAAAGCTAGTGAATTTAGTCCACACCTGTTTTGCAGTAATACTGAATAGGAGAGATACTTTCTCCCTGTGAAGGGAATTTCAAGAGAGCCATCTGGAAAAATGAGAGCAGTGAATGAAGTAAGGAGCAGTTGCCTGGGTCAATTTCAGGATATGAATTGTAGGGTGGGCACTGATAGGAATGAAAGGCATTTGTCCTATGACTTTGTCCTATGTCCTGTTGTCCTGTGACTTGAGACAGACACAAAGTGTCAACACTTTGTGAGCTACCAGACCAGACAAAGGTTTAAGAACCACATTACAATAAATGGAGCTTTTAAGTTGTGAGCCTGATTTTTGTTTTTGTGTCATGGAGCAACATCTTAGTTTATGGTTTCTACTCACATTCTAGAACCAGTGATATAGTGACACCCTTGGGATGAATATAGGAAAAGCATCTTTGCGTGTGTGTGTGTGTGTGTGTGTGTGTGTGTGTGTGTGTGAGAGAGAGAGAGAGAGAGAGAGAGAGAGAGAGATGCATTGGGGAATGGTTAGGGTACAACTCTATAGTGTACTTTTTTTTTTTTGATACAGATTGTCTGTCACCCAGGCTGGAGTGCAGTGGCATGATCATAGCTCATTGCAGCCTCTAACTCCTGGGCTCAAGCAATCCTCCCCCCTCAGCCTCCAGAGCAGCTAGGACTACAGACACGCACCACCATGTGAATTAGAGCTGTACGTTACTGAGATTGTTTCTGATTCCCATCTTAAAACGTTGCTTTTTGTGTCTAAGAGAAGCAATAGATTCATAGCCCAGATTATGTTTCTATATAGAAACACAGTGTTTGTGTTCCACCTTAAGATGTAACTTGAATTACACTGGAAAATCATGCATTTAAAAGCATGTATCTAATAAATCCAATGTCACTCAAGGAAACAAGACCTATTATTAGGCGGAGGCGTTGGCTGGCTCTCATTTTCCTGGTCAAGACCCCGAGGCGTGGCAATTTAAAGTTTAGCTCTGAAATAAGCAGCCCTTTCGCCTTGGAAACCTTTTTTTCCCCTTGTGTTGCTAGTTCCTCCAGCCCTGTGCAAGCACTGTGCATAATAGCTTCTTGTGAGGAAATGACATTTAAAGCCCTCTCAATCTGTCAGTATAATACCAACGTTTTAAAAATCACATGTTATGTTAGTGAGGCCCTCTCCTTAAGTCTAAATTTTTCTGCTTCCAAGGCTGAAAATATATTCAAGGAACAATTTAAAATTGACACAAGCATTTGTGCAATTATTTCTGATTTAACAGTATTGATTTTCCATGTTGAAAATGGCTTCTTTAATGGGCAAAATATAACATTGAAAAATAGCTGTGAATGAAGGGTTTTCTCATCATCTGTCAGTTCCCCAAAGCATTCCTTTCCAAGTAGGTGATTGTGGTGAAAGTAGATAATTATATATTGAGTGGACTCTTTTGCATTTTTGCTTTCTTTCAAGTGCGTGGCAAGTAATAGATGCTGAATAAATGTTAAATGTTTGAATGAATTAATGAGTGCCTGATGAATTAGACCTGCTTAATTATTTTATATTGAGTTTCAGATCAATATACAAGTATTGCACTTGTTGGAGAAAATCCCTTTTAATTATCTCAAAGGGATATCAACATTGCTGTGTATATAATTTTAATTTTTAAAATGTCTTTATCACAAAAAATTTCAAATATTCAGCAAAGTTGAAAGAATTTTATGGCAAATTATTTGTATACCATAGCCTAGATTCTACCATTTCTATTTTACCATACTTGTTTTATCACCTATATCAACCCATTTTATTTTTTGATGCATTTCAAACTAAACTGAAGACATCTGTACACTACTTCTGTATACTTTGGTGTGTGTATTACTACTTAGAATTCAGTATCTGTCTAAAGCTTTTCTTTCGATGTAAAATTAACACACAATGAAACGTATTAGTCCTAAGCATGCATCCACTGAGTTTGGATGAATGCAAACCCCCATCAACATATAGAATGTTGCCATCATTCCAAAAGTTCCTTTATGCTTCTTCCCGGGCAAAGCCTGTCCCCATCCTTCACCTTCCCCTCCAACAGGAAACCAGTGTTCTGATTATTTTCCACTGTGAATGATATTTGCCCATTCTAGAACGTTATATAAATGGAACCATACAATATGCACTCTTTTATGTGAGGCTTCTTTCACTCAGCATGTTTTTGAGATTCATGCATTTCATAGTGTGTATTAGTAGCTCAATCCTTCTATTGTTAAGTTGTATTCCATTATATGAATAAACAGTTTGCTTATCCATTCTCTTATTGATGGGCACTTGGGCTGTTTCAAGTTTGAACTATTAAAAACAAAGCCGCCATGAACATTTGCGTACAAGTCTTTTTGTGGGCATATATTTTCGTTTCTCTTGGGCAATACCTAGGACGACTTGTTGGATCATAGGGTAGGTGTACATTTAGTTGTTTTTTTTTGTTTGTTTGTTTTTTGAGACAGAGTCTCGCTTTATTGCCCAGGCTAGAGTGAGTGTCGTGGCATCAGTCTAGCTCACAGCAACCTCAAACTCCTGGGCTCAAGCAATCCTACTGCTTCTGCCTCCCGAGTAGTTGGGGCTACAGGCATGCGCCACCATGCCCGGCTAATTTTTTCTATATATATTAGCTGGCCACTTAATTTCTTTCTATTTATCATAGAGACTGGGTCTCACTCTTGCTCAGGCTGGTTTCGAACTCCTGACCTCGAGTGATCCGCCCACCTCGGCCTCCCAGAGTGCTAGGATTACAGGCGTGAGCCACCGCGCCTGGCCTACATTTAGTTTTATAAGAAACTGCCAGACCTTTTGCTAAAGTGGTTGTACAATTTGACAGTCACACCAACAATATATGAGAGTTCTGATTGCCCCAAATCTTTGTCAACATTGGGTTATTGTCAGTCTTTTTAATTTTAGCCATACCAGTGGATATGTATTATTTCATTGTTTCTTAAATTTGCATTTCCCTGATGACTAATAATGAGTACTTTTTCATGTGCTTTTTGACAATGGTACATGTTCTTTTGTAAAGTGTCTAAGCAAATATTTGCCTATATATATTTGTATACATATATTTTGTTATTCAATTTTAGGAGTTCTTTATATATCCCGGAGACCAGTCCTTTGTCAGATATATGCTTTCTGAAGCTTTAGGGCTTTAATTTTTATATATCAGTCTAGGATCAATCTCAAATTAACTTTTGTGTATGGTATGAGGTAAGGACTGATGTTCTTTTTTCCTCCCTTCCATATGGATATCCAATTATTCTATTACCATTTATTGAAATGACTATTCTTTTCCTATTAGATTCCTTTGATGTCATTATAAAAAATTAGATGACTGTATGCTTTGGTTTGAATGTGCCCCCTCCCACACCATTCATGTGTTAGAAATGTAATCCCCAATGCAGCAGTGTTGGGAGTTGGGGCTTTTAAGAGATGATTAGGTTGGGAGGGCTCTGCCTTCACTAATGGATTAATTCTGTTATTGGGGGAGTAGGTTAGTTATCATGAAAGTGAATTCCTGATAAAAGGATGAGTTCAACTCTTCCCTTCCCTTCCCTTCCCTTCCCTTCCCTTCCCTTCCCTTCCCTTCCCTTCCCTTCCCTTCCCTTCCCTTCCCTTCCCTTCCCTCTCTCTTACCCTTCCACCTTCTGCTATAGGAGAAGGATAAAGGCCCTGGGCCAATGTAGGCCCTTTGAACTTGGACCTCCCAAACTCTACAACTATGAGCAAAATAAACTTCTATCATTTGTAAATTACCCAGTCTGTGGTATTATGTTATAGCAACACAAAATGGACTGAGACACTGGTAACTGGGGGTCAATTTCTGGGTTCTATTCTGTACTATTGGTCTATTTGTCAATCATTATGTTAGTACCACACTGCCTGGATAACTTTAGTGTTATAGTGAGTCATAAAATCAGGTAGTGTAAGTTCTTTCCTTTTGTTCAATTGTTTTGGCTATTCTATGTCCCTTGGTTTTTTATATAATTTTAGAACTAGTGGGTCAATTTCTACAAAAAACTTCTGAGGGTTTGAATGGAATTGCATTGTTTCTATGGATCAATTTAAGAGAGAACCGACATCTTAATAATATTGAGTCTTCCAATCTATGAAATGGTATATTTCTACATTTATTTAGATCTTCTTTAATTTCTCTTAGCAATGCTTTGTTTTAGTGTAGAGATCTTAGAAGCCTTTTGATATATTTATTATGTTATATGTTATATTATAGGTATGTATGTGTCCACTGGATGTTAAGTCCAATGCCTTAACCACTCAGCCATCCCTGTGATTATAGGTATGTATGTTATATTATGTTATACACATGTTATATGTTGCATTATGTTATACGTTTGAATTATTCCATGATTTTTAATGCTATGAATGTAATCAGTTTTTAAAATTGTTTCCAATTGTTTGTGACCATAAGTATTTTTTTACATTAACTTTGTATCCTATGACTTTACTAAATTCACTTACCAGTTCTAGCATTTGTTTTGTAGATTCTTCTGGCTTTTGTGTATAAATAATCATGTCATCAATCTTTTTTCAATCCTTTTTTGCCTTTCATTTCTTTTTTTTTTTCTTTTTTTTTGAGACAGAGTCTCACTTCATTTTCAGGCTAGAATGACTGCCGTGGCGTCAGCCTAGCTCACAGCAACCTCAGACTCCTGGGCTCAAGCAATCCTCCTGCCTCAGCCTCCCAAGTAGCTGGGACTACAGGCATGCGCCACCATGCCCGGCTAATTTTTTTCTATATACATTAGTTGGCCAATTAATTTCTTTCAATTTATAGTAGAGACTGGGTCTCGTTCTTGTTCAGGCTGGTTTTGAACTCCTGACCTCGAGCAGTCTGCCCGCCTCGGCCTCCCAGAGTGCTAGGATTATAGGTGTGAGCCACCACCCCTGGCCCCTTTCATTTCTTTTTATTTTTCATTTTGCCTTATTGAACTGGTTAAAACCTCCTGTAAAATATTGAATAGAAGTGATGACAGTGGGCAACCTTGCCTTTTTAGGAGAAAGCATTCAGACTTTTACTACTAAGTATGAAGTTAGCTGCAGGTTTTTAAAAGATGTTCTTAGGCCAGGTGTGGTGGCTCACATCTGTAATCCTAGCACTCCGGGAGGCCGAGGTGGGCAGGTTGCTCAAGGTCAGGAATTCAAAACCAGCCGGAGCAAGAGTGAGACCCCGTCTCTACTAAAAATAGAAAGAAATTAATCGACCAACTAAAACTATATATACAAAAATTAGCCGGGCATGGTGGTGCATGCCTGTAGTCCCAGCTACTTGGGAGGCTGAGGCAGGAGGATTGCTTGAGCCCAGGAGTTTGAGGTTGCTGTGAGCTAGGCTGACACCACGGCACTCACTCTAGCCTGGGCAACACAGCAAGACTCTGTCTCAAAAGAAAAAAAAGATATTCTGTATCAGATTAAAGAAGTTCCCTTTTATTCTTAGTTTGCTAACAGTTTGAATGATGAGTGGATATTGAATTTTTTTCTGTATCTATTCAATTTATCATATAGTTTTTCTCCATTATTCTGTTAATAACACTGATTAACCTTTATTTTTTATTTTTATATATATTTTTTGAGACAGAGTCTCACTCTGTTGCCACCATGCCCGGCTAATTTTTTCTATATATATTAGTTGGCCAATTAATTTCTTTCTATTTATAGTAGAGATGGGGTCTCGCTCTTGCTCAGGTTGGTTTCAAACTCCTGAACTCGAGCAATCCGCCCGCCTCGGCCTCCCAGAGAGCTAGGATTACAGGCGTGAGCCACTGCGCCTAGCCCTGATTAATCTTTAAATGTTAAATAATCTTGCATTCCTGAAATAAACCCTATTTGGTCATTGTGTGTTATCTTTTTGATATATGGTTAAATTCAATTAGCTAATAATATTTTGTTAAAAATTTTTTGCATCTATATTCATGAAGGAGATTAGTTCATAAATTTCTTTTTGGACTGCCTTTATCAGGTATTGGAATTAGGGTGATGCTGGCCACACAAAATGAATTGGGTAGTGGTCTCTCATCCTTTATTTTCTGAAGGAGTTTTGGTAAGATTGGTGCAATTCTTCCATAAACATCTGATAGAGTTTACAAGTGAAACCACTGGAGTTTCCTTTCTGGGATGGTTTTTAACTTTGAATTTAATTTCTCTAAGATGTAGGACTATTCTGTCCCACATTCTACATCCAGTCCATCAGCATATCCTATGGGCTTGACCTTCAGAATATGTCCAGAATCTCACCTCTTCTTATCACCTCCTTGGCTATTATCTTGGACCAAACATCCATGCTCTCTTTCTGGATTATGGCAGTAACTGTGTTACTGGACTTTTTGCTCTGTGCTTGTTCTCTATAGTCTATTCCCAGTGAGTGGCTAGTGCGCCTGTCACTACCAAAACCCTCACCCAGAGTAAAAGTCAAAATCTTTGCAGTAACCTGTAAGATTCCACATGGTCTAGAACTGCCCTACCCCTCTCGCCTCTCATTCTTCTACGTTTCCTCTCACTTCTCTCTGCACTGCCCTTTTTGCTGTCCTTTGAGGAGGCCACACATACTTTGTCCGAGGGTCTTTATACATGCTTCCCCTTTGGCTTAGCATACTTTCTCCCCACATATCTACAAGTCTGGCTCCCTCATCTCCTTCCAGTTTTGCGCAAATGTCATCTTCTAAATGGAGTCATCCCTGAACACCTTGTTTAAAATTCCCAGTGCCCCCTTATATTCCCTGTCCTTCTTCCCTTTTTTATTGTTCTTTATATACTTATGACTGTCTAATATGCTATATAACATTTATTTATTTTTATTTATTTTTATTTTTTTATTTTTTTGAGACAGAGTCTCACTTTGTTGCCCAGGCTAGAGTGAGTGCCGTGGGGTCAGCCTAGCTCACAGCAACCTCAAACTTCTGGGCTCCAGCAATCCTCCTGCCTCAGCCTCCCGAGTAGCTGGGACTACAGGCATGCGCCACCATAACCGGCTAATTTTTTCCATATATATTAGTTGGCCAATTAATTTCTTTCTACTTATAGTAGAGACGGGGTCTCGCTCTTGCTCAGGTCGGTTTCAAACTCCTGACCTCGAGCAATCTGCCCGCCTCGGCCTCCCAGAGTGCTAGGATTACAGGTGTGAGCCATATATAACATTTATGTAATTTGTTTGTCTCTTGTCTCTATAAGTTCCATGAGAACATTAAATTTTGTTAATTTTATTCACTACTGCATCTGAGAATCTAAACTAGTGTCTGGCAAATAGACACTACTCAATAAATATTTGTGAAATATTTGTGAAAAGAGTGAACTGTGCACCTGGAATCAGTATTTTTAAGAGAGGAAAACTAATGTAAAGTTGGTTTCCAAACCAACTTTGATAACAGCACCTTTTTTTTTTTCTTTCTTTCTTTTTTTTTTTTTTTGAGACAGAGTCTCCCTTTGTTGCCCAGGCTAGAGTGAGTGCCGTGGCGTCAGCCTAGCTCACAGCAACCTCAAAATCCTGGGCTCAAGCGATCCTCCTGCCTCAGCCTCCCCAGTAGCTGGGACTACAGGCATGTGCCACCATGCCCGGCTATTTTTTTTTTCTATATATATTAGTTGGCCAATTAATTTCTTTCTATTTATAGTAGAGATGGGGTCTCACTCTTGCTCAGGCTGGCTTCGAACTCCTGACCTGCAGCAATCCGCCCACCTTGGCCTTCCAGAGTGTTAGGATTACAGGCGTGAGCTGCCACGCCCGGCTGATAACAGCACCTTTTTACTAATACCCTTAGCTTTCCTCATTTAAAAAACGAGGTTTTTTTTTTTCAGTTTGGATCTTTTGTAAATAAATGGCATTGTAAGACAGTGATTTCTTATCATTGTTCAATAGTAGTCTCAAGGGGCTTATTCTCAGGAGCAATACATTATTTTACAACAGTTGGCAGAACTGAGAGATGGGGTTGCTAAATGAAAATTCTTTGTATCAATCTCAACAATCCTTTCCCCATGCTATCATACTTTTCATTATAGTATATCCCAACACAAGTTCTATGCTTCTCATTGAATAAAAATATGTATAAGATAGGAAAGAGAGAAGTCCTTCTGTGAGTTTATTGTGATTTGAATAAATGAAGTTTGCAAACACTGATATTTTAAACTATTCCTTTATTTGGTGCCCTAGAAGTTTTTACACTCTGAGGCAAGACACAATAAGATTTGGGATTCCAGAGAAATATGCCTTCCTTGTGAAAGGGGAGGTTGGGAAGAAGACCAGGTAAAATGCATGCTATGGGTTTGAATGTATGTGTCTTTTTAAAATTCATACATTTGAATTTAAACTCCAAGGTGATGATATTAACATGTGTGCCTTTGGGGGAGTCATTAAGTCATGAGAGCCCCGTGAATGGATTAGTGCTCCATAAGGGAGCATTCTTGTGCCTTTTGCCTTCCATCTCCTCTGCCACGTGAGGACACAACAAGAAGGCACCATATGAGGGACAGGCCCTCATGAGACACTGAATTTGTTAGTGCCTTGATCTTGGACTTCCCAGCCTTCAGAACCATGAGAAATAAATTTATGTACTTTATAAATTACCCAGTTTAAGTATTTTGTTATAGCAGTAGGAATGGACTAAGACAATACAAATGTCAGGCAGACCAATTTTAGAAGATTTCATATGTGTGGAAGTTGAGTTGAAATTGATTCCTCAAAACTATTTATGGCCATACATCCCTTGGAAAGCCTTTAAAAGTATAACTCAAGTTTGAAGATTGCCGCTATAGTTTTAACTTTGTTTTTCGGCAGCTTTAGTCCTCTTAAATGATTTTGGTAAACATGCATTTTATGGAGGGGATGGGGTATTTATGATATAGATTTTTTTTTATAATTGTTATCTTACCTAAGATTTTCTTTAAATCTGAAATGATGACGGTAGAAGCAGAAGTTAGAGATGCTTGTGAAGGTGTTCTCACATGTATGACCAGTTTCTATCTCTTGAGTTACTTCATCTTCCCTCACAGCATCTTTAGGATAGAGAATCTTCATTGGGACTGATGGAAAATTCCAGCTTCTTCTAAGTGCTTTGTAACCCAGAATATGTAGAAGCTTTAAAAGAATTTTATTATAAACTTCTAAATCAAAACTCCTTTTTCTTTCTAAATTTACTTGGAAATTTTTCATGTATACTTAAAAAGCAGAGTCATATTGTACTTTTCTTTGTAGCTGTGCTTTTCCTGTCAGGCCATTGTATTGGCTACTATTCCTGCATAACAGTTATCCCAAACTTTCTGATGTAAAACAAGAAACATTTATCATTC